CGTCATTCCAATGCAAATTATAGAATTTTTACTTCAGATATGAAATTAGCGATCTGAAAAACTTAGGAATACCAACTTTTGTAAAAATTTGAATCATACACATTGACGTTACCGAATTTTTTCTACCAAGAGGCAGTGTCGAACTACTGTGCGAGAAGCGTGGGGAGTCGGACGCTGTTGGAAAGGACGCGAGCGTTGGCGGGATTTGCCAGGATAGCGTGAGGGGATCGGGAGTAGAGAGGGGGGGATGGGTGAGTTATACGTAGTTATACTATATAGCATAAGTACATAGGTAGGTCGTGGGTGGGGAGGGTGAAACGAACACACGAACGGCGGCGAGGTACACCGAATGCTCCCGCGGCGTTTCAGTCCGGTCTAGTCCGTCGTTGCGACACGTTTGCCGCGCGGTTTCGTTCCGAGAGCCGATACAGAATTTCGTTTCGCTACTCCGAGCGGTCTGTTCGCGGGTAAAGTGCGTGCATGTGCTCGTGATACAAGGACCTATCAGGGATGGAGTGAAGTGTAAAAAAAAAAGCCAACCATGAGCACGATGACGAGACGCTGGATCATTCACGGCCTGCTTCTCCTTGGATATATTCAAGGTTCGAAGTCTATAAAAATATTTCTAATTTCGTTACAACGGTCGATCGACCAGACACGCGGATTTTGTTTTGTGGGCTGCCGTTCCCATCCACTGTTCTTCGTTAGGCGCACTTGGCGAACGACTTCCGTCCCAAAACGCTTATTAGTTTTTGTGATTAATAATGTTTTCAAAATTTAATAATGTTTCAAAATTTTGTGATTTTCTGGTAAAATAGTTTTGTCATAAAAGGAAATTTATAAAAATCACTTTCTGTGCTTTTCATGGAAGACACTTGTTATTCATTCCTCTTTGAACCTTGGCGTTTACTCGCGAGGGGTACGTGTAGTCACGTGCGCACTTCTGGCATTTGGTACCGCGTCAAGGCAAACCGATTCGTTTTTCCCCTGTCATATTTCCCAATAATCTTTCCTATTTTATCACGCATCACCGTTCGATGTCGACATACGAGCATTTCCTATCTATGCATATAAAATGGAACGCGTTTTGCACCGGTTACGTTGTTCCATCCCATTAAATGTACTACAGGTGATATACACGCCAAGTACGTACGAATTTATATGTTTGATTCTCAATGATTTTATTCGTCCTTCGCAGAGGTTAATTTATGTGACACTCTTTTTATTATTCACGGGTCAGGCGTTCTGCGAATCGGCCCGCGCGTTCACGTCGTTCGGGACGCTCCCCTTTAAAAAAGCACCGCGACAGATGTAAGTCACTCGTTTAGGACAAGTGATTATGGCCAACACGCATAAATATTTGCTTGTAAGTTTCTTCGTACTCATGTATAGAATACATAAAAATATGTATCGTTTCTAAATATTTGAGTTAAAGAAATTTTGGTTTTGTTAAGTAGATTCGCTAAAGTTTATATAGAGAGAGATTGCTTAAACTCTGTTAGTTCCTCAAAAAGGCACATTTTTTCTCATGTATCTCTCAAAATTCTTCTATTCCGGTTAGATTTCTGTGTTGTTTCCGTTGAAATACTTCTTCTTCAAGTGTCCTGAAGCGGAATTGATGCATGATTCATGCATTTATGCGATATAAGTAGACATATAAGTGTTTAAGCCGATTTTCAAAAGGGCGACCATTTTCCTATTTAGATTTCAATTAAAACCCGAATAAGTTTTGGGTTTAAGTAATCAAAAGATCGACAAAACTTGTTTGACATTGTCGCTAGGACTCTTAGGTCAAACGTTGTAAATGTCCTATCTTCATCGCCAGTGTGGTTTTGCGCACTGGTTTTTTGTAGTACTTTGGACCAAAGTCTGTTTGTCTTCTAATATAAGAGTCATGCTTCGATAGGACGCAGTTGTCTGTTTTCTAATTTGCTTACAATCACGTTCTGGTTCAGCGAAGAGATATTTCTGATTCTCTAGTTTAGCTATAATTATAAAAATGTGACGCTCAGTGAATTGGTTTATGAGTCTGAGGTATTTCATTGTCTCAAACATTTCAGTTGTCCTGGAATCCACTATAGCCAGTGTGGTCTTGTAGTTTTTGTTTTACTTTGGGCCCAAGTGTTTTTTCCTGTAATCTAAGAGGCCTATTTCAATAAGAGTTGTCCCCATTAGGCTAATTTCCTTACAAGAACAGTAATATTAATGCCAATGTTCATTCGTTCCTGTTCAAATCTTTATTTTGAGATTCCTTATGAATTGCTTTCACTAAATAATCTGGAAGTAATAATAATCCCCCAAAAAATTAACCCTTTCATGAAAAGGTAAAGAAATGGGCAAGTTTGAGATGTCTGATCCCTATAATCAACTACAGTAATAATAATCGATCTAATGTTATCCATTTATCTATGACGATCATTAGAAGCAGACACGTTCGACGATGTCACTGTCCGTTTTGCGGTGCAACGAGTCGCGGCTAATTTGATCTCTTATCGGATTACTAGCCTCCTCCTTCTCCACGGGACTTGCTTAAGGAAACACACTATTTGCCTCGAGTGGTTCTTAGCGATTTTCAAAAGCAACGAAGCAATGGAGATTTTATTCGAAACCCGAGAGGCACCGCGGACGTATAAAGTTTTTCCCAGGTGGAACAAAGTATAGCGTAATGAGAGAGAAAAATAGATAAGACCAGGAATTGATGCATGATTCATGCATTTATGCGATATAAGTAGACATATAAGTGTTTAAGCCGATTTTCAAAAGGGCGACCATTTTCCTATTTAGATTTCAATTAAAACCCGAATAAGTTTTGGGTTTAAGTAATCAAAAGATCGACAAAACTTGTTTGACATTGTCGCTAGGACTCTTAGGTCAAACGTTGTAAATGTCCTATCTTCATCGCCAGTGTGGTTTTGCGCACTGGTTTTTTGTAGTACTTTGGACCAAAGTCTGTTTGTCTTCTAATATAAGAGTCATGCTTCGATAGGACGCAGTTGTCTGTTTTCTAATTTGCTTACAATCACGTTCTGGTTCAGCGAAGAGATATTTCTGATTCTCTAGTTTAGCTATAATTATAAAAATGTGACGCTCAGTGAATTGGTTTATGAGTCTGAGGTATTTCATTGTCTCAAACATTTCAGTTGTCCTGGAATCCACTATAGCCAGTGTGGTCTTGTAGTTTTTGTTTTACTTTGGGCCCAAGTGTTTTTTCCTGTAATCTAAGAGGCCTATTTCAATAAGAGTTGTCCCCATTAGGCTAATTTCCTTACAAGAACAGTAATATTAATGCCAATGTTCATTCGTTCCTGTTCAAATCTTTATTTTGAGATTCCTTATGAATTGCTTTCACTAAATAATCTGGAAGTAATAATAATCCCCCAAAAAATTAACCCTTTCATGAAAAGGTAAAGAAATGGGCAAGTTTGAGATGTCTGATCCCTATAATCAACTACAGTAATAATAATCGATCTAATGTTATCCATTTATCTATGACGATCATTAGAAGCAGACACGTTCGACGATGTCACTGTCCGTTTTGCGGTGCAACGAGTCGCGGCTAATTTGATCTCTTATCGGATTACTAGCCTCCTCCTTCTCCACGGGACTTGCTTAAGGAAACACACTATTTGCCTCGAGTGGTTCTTAGCGATTTTCAAAAGCAACGAAGCAATGGAGATTTTATTCGAAACCCGAGAGGCACCGCGGACGTATAAAGTTTTTCCCAGGTGGAACAAAGTATAGCGTAATGAGAGAGAAAAATAGATAAGACCAGCGTAACGTTGAGTGTGATAAGAAAATGGAATGTCGTTCTACTCCCCCTGGTCGTAGACCGTTTTAACGTGAAAATTATCGAGCGGGAAACATTTTTAATCACTATTGCCGGATGATATCGTCGTTTCCCTGTGGCTCGAAAGAAAAGTTAGAAGCCTGGCAAAAAGTGGCCCAAGGTCGTGTAGCAATCGTTGAACGCTTGTCCGAGCGTAGACAATTGGGTAAGAAAAAAGTGGGATGGGGTAGTCGGTAGGCAGTGACCTTAAAACGTCTTAATTAACTTTTTGGTTCGCGCGGTCGACATTTCTAGCACGCCTGCTACCCGGCGTTGTTTTTGCACGAAATTATACCTGGCTGCCTACCTACCTACCTAGCTACCTACCTGCCTTCTGCCTTCCACGTAGCTCTTCCAACGGATCCCCACTCGTTAGGTATTTGGGGCGTAATTAATGTGTCCTCCAAGGACACGAGCAGCGTCTGAAAAAATATCGCGTACGCGAGCGCTGCGCTTTCTAATAAAACGTATAATTAAAGCCGGATTTTCTGCCTCGAAAACCAGAGAGTTCCAACGTTGATATTTCAAAGTTCATACGAGGAAGGAATAATTTAGGGAGGGGAAATTTCCTTACGCACAAGCGTATAAACGCGTATCGATGTTCCCATGAATAAATGCGAACGATTCTGTACGACGACTGTTACGAGGATCGTTAAAAATTTAGCTTCCTATTATTAACAAACGAGGCTGGCTATTAAACGACTTTACTAAAATTCGATGCGCCACGATTGCCGTCGTAAGAAGTAAGAAACGAGGGGAGGAACTTGGCAATGGTTGGGAGAAAAGAATTTTTCCATGCCGCTGTCTCGTTTAATAGCCGATGTAATTCGTTGTAATATGCTTCCTGTATTGTCTCCGCATTCGAATGCCCTTTTCTAGTTTCATACCTGGTTTCGTTCGTACCTAAGGATTTCAATTTCTTTCTTTTCGTTTTTACTTTATGCAATTCTCACACGGATTGAAGCATGCCTCCCGAGACTTCCCTCCTTTATCTTCAGATCCAACTGATCTTGACTTTTAGTCACTTTATGATTGGAGAACCAATAACGACACTTCTAGATTTTCTCCACCAGGTCTAATTAGCATATGGAAAAATAGAATCAAGGTATTAACTCATCCAACAATCAGTGCAACACTTTTAGAGGCGATGGCACTAGGAGTGTTCATCTTGTCAGAAGACAACCATGCTTTCTTCTTAACTTATGGTCATTTTATGATTGGAGAACCAATAACGACATTTCCTTAATCAGATCTAATTAGTATATGACAAAATAGAATCAACTCATCCAACAATCAATGTAACACTTTTGGGACAACCACGCCTTTCTTCTTAACTTATGGTCATTTTATGATTGATGAACCAATAACGACACCTCCTCAACCAGATCTAATTAGCATACGACAAAATAGAATTAACTCAACCAACAATCAGTGTAACACTGTTGGAGGCGATGGCACTAAGAGTGTCCATCTTGGCAGAAGACAACCACGCCTTTCTTCTTAACTTATGGTCACTTTCTGATTGGAGAACCAATAACGACAGTTCCTCAATCAGATCTAATTAGCATACGACAAAATAGAATCAACTCAACCAGCAATCAATGTAACACTTTTGGGATAACCACGCCTTTCTCCTTAACTTCTGATTGGAGAGCCAATAACGACACTTCCAGATGTCTCAACCAGGTCTAATTAGCATAGAGCAAAATAGAGTTAACAGGTATTAATTCATTCAACAATCAATGTAACACTTTTGGAGGCGATGGCATCAAAAGT